CAATTACACAGGACATCAGGCAAGTTATGGGGATAATCTTTATTTGTCTCACACCTTCTATGGGGCAATAAACAATGCAGGGTGGAAGTGAGGCACGACAAGCTCGGTGTCTGCCAGATTGTAAACAACCTGGCGGCTGGCGCTTATTTCAGGGTTCTTATTGACAAAACCACTCAACTCTTGGTGGCTCTTAATGGAGGGTCAAATGTAACAAATTTTCGCTGAGTGGCTCTTAATTGAGGGTGGCGCTTATTTGCGGGTTTTTACGGTAGTGCATGTTGCGCCCTGGCTCGAACTCATACTGTTGATTTCCATTTGATGAACTCATTGAATTGTGGTAAAATCAATGTTTATCAACACAAATATCGCACATGCGCGGCTCGACGACCACTGCCCTTTAAGTTTGTATCATGCAATATAAATATTTAACTCCATTTGTGTTCACAAACAATGTTCGGTATGTTCTAGATTTATGAATATCTGGACAAGTATGTGATTGGCCAAGCCCAGTCCAAGAAGGTATTGTCTGTCGCTGTTTACAATCACTACAAGAGAATCTATACCAATCCACCAACAACTGTTAAGCCAACAGCTGAAGCCCAGGAAAACCGCATACAAGGGGCAATCTTCACTCCACGGGGTATGTTGGCGGAAAATTATTTTTTTCATTCTGTGTTAGCTATTTCAAGAAAATTTTGTTACCATTAAAATCTTATCAGTATCTGTTAGTGTTACAATGCTGCAGCTTCAAAAATTAGTTCAAAACTACACAGTTGGGGACAGAAAAAAATCACTGCCAACTCATCTAAGAGTCATCTCTTTTTTTTTTTTGGTGGGACATGTCAACGACGTCTTTTCAATGCAGGAGGTAATATTTGATTTCAGCTAGGGGGGCCATCTTTATGACTTTGAGAATTTGACCTCTTTTCTAAGCTGACAGTAATGTCATAACCTCTTTCACATTTTATTGTGACAATATAAGATAAAAAAGTAGATAGATTACCAATACAATAAAAAGAGTCAACTGATTAAATTTAGTAGATGAATGGGGGACTTTAACACCTTGTTTTTGATTCACAACGATGCTGGTTTGTTTGAATGGATTCCATACAAAATTAGAACTACAATGTTTTTCATCCACACATTTGCAATTTTGAAATTGTTGTCATAAACACTGTTTATAGTCTAAACTCTCAACTCAGGGGGTTTGTAATCAGTAAGCAGTTAGGATTTCAATGGTACCTGTAATGGATTTATTCTAGAACATGTATTTTTTCCTGCATAGAGACTTGAATGCTGTAATACAGACCCGCCAGAAAGTATTTACGCACCACACTACAGGCAGCTACTACCTACGATATCATACAATAAAATAAACTCAATAACGGTTTGAATAAATATATTTATATATCTAATAAAATATGCGTTTTTACACACAATAAAAACAACAAAATTGTCATTGTCATGCAGGATTGAATAAAAACGGCAGTCTGAACGAAACAGTGAAAAAACGTTCGAATTCTCTATGGAGAATACCGTGTAAACGCAAGCTCATGAATATTCATGAAGACATAGAACGCGGCGATTGTCAATAATGCGTGTGTCCACCTCTTCGCTGGATGACTTCTCTGAGCCGTTTTGGCATGTTATCGACGAGT